GTCACACCCCCTTTTCAGAATTCTCAGATCTCAGCTTCAAGCTTGACTTAAGTTCTTTGGCGCTTCAAGGGCTCAGATGGCTGTGTCGGATGAAGACAAGAGGGCTGCCGTGGCCCTTGCCAACTCAGATCTGCAGTATGTACTTCAGGAAGCTGGGGCGGACTTGAGCACCCAGTATGCCGTGTGCTCGCTGCACACAACGATCAGGCGTTTTCAGGCAATCGCAGACACAAGGTCAGAGGCGAGGCAGGCCGCCGCGCGGGACTTCGGTTGCTCTTCGGACACAGCTGCCGGTCGGCAGCAGCAGGCAGCGGTGGTTGCTGCATGGGAGCTTGCTAAAGAGGTCTCAGCTAAGGAGGTTGAGCTTCGCGCAGAGTCAAAAGTCCTCGGACAGCCCAGGGTTCTTCAGGTTCAGGAGCGCCAGGCCATGNNGTCACAGCGGTTCATGGTCGCTTGAATGAGGGCGAGACGCCATCAGCAGAGTACCTTGCTCTCAAGGCCGAGGAGTGCGAGATTAATGAGCCGACTGCATCCCCACTTGATTGCATCAGTGCCAAGCGCGACAATCTTGAGAGCCAGCTTCAGAGCACTGTGGATGCTCACGGCCACATCCGAATCACTAAGGTTAAGCATAAGCTTGAGGTGCCCGTCAACAGTGAGCATTACCGTCGCATAATGAAGATTGAGATGTATGCATGGCTGGCTATGGCTGCACGCTTCAAAGCCAAGCCGTGGCTTCAGGGTCTAAGTGTAACACCTTTCTTGAAGTTCACTGATTACATTCTTGGGGAGCGGGTCTCGCAACTGAAAATCCCCACTGCTCAGGGTGGTGATCAGAACTCGGGCTTTCGCCCACCCTGGACAACGGTATTGGCTTACGAGTTCAGGCTTCGCAAAGAGGCTTTCAGATTGGTGAACGAGGAAGGTTCCACATTGGCCGATGCCTTGGCAAAGGTGTGCAAAGACACGGAGCTGAAGGAGGTCTACTTCACTACGCCCTTGGCCCTTGCCAGTGCTGAAGGCGGGATCCGTAAGTACTTCAAGGGAGGCGGCAAGGACCCCAGGAAAGGCTTGAAGGGTCTCACACCTGGCAAGGGCGACGGCAAGGGTGACGGGAAGGATCGCAAGGGTCGTGACACAGGTGGGTCAGGCTTTGGGGGTAAGACTCCGGGCATGTTTGCGGGATTCACGCTGCTTACCCACACCCCGGACGGCCGTCAGATCTGTTATGCTTTCAACAGTGCCAGGGGATGTAAGGGAAATTGTGGGCGTGTGCATGTTTGTCGTGTCAAGGGCTGTGGCAAACAGCACGGTGTGCATCAGCATCCTGGGGCGTCTGCTGCTCCAAAGGATTCCACGGGCGGTGCCGATCAGACCGAGTGACTATGCGGCGTTGTGCTTGTGTACGCGACTCAGGAAGATCGCGTTGGCCTGCTAGAGGCCCTGTCATCATACAGCTCTGGATTGCGGCTTCTTGAGTTTGACTTGAGCTGTGATCGGGATCATGATTCTTTGCATGCTGGGCCCTGGGCCCAAATACAGGAACTTTTGCGCGAAGGCCGGTGGCTGCTCTATTGCACCTTGCCGGCGAGTACTTTCAGTCGCTCTCGGCATCATCGGCCGGGGCCTCCACCACTGCGCAGCCATGAGCATCCTTATGGTTTCCCTTGGTTGCGACAATCTTTTGCACAGCAAGTCCATCTTGATAACGATTTCATTTTTCAAGCCGTTGCTTCAGCGCATGTTTGCTTTGATTTTGGCAGTTTCTTTGTCTTTGATCATCCAGAGCGCCTCGGTGTGGCACATGACCAGGTGTTGCCTGCTTCCCCATGGGAGTGGGCTGAGGTGCTTGATCTGATTCCGCGCGGAGCTGTCACTTTTGCGTTGTATCAGTGCCACTATGGTGCTCTCACATCAAAGCCTACGCGTTTCTTGAGCAATTTGCCCAACTGGCGCGCTGCCGTGCCACATTTCCCAGGACTTCCGTCGTTGGATGATGATGGGCGCTATCGCGGCCCTCTGCCGCCCCGTTGCGGCCATAAGCATGCTGATCTTTTGCGTTCGCAGCCCAGCGGCTGGCAGTCGGGCAACCTTGCTCGCTTTACGCCGGAACTTTGTGCTTTTGTGGCCAGAGCCGCCCTGGCAGTCGCTCCTCAGGAGAA